GGATGGAAAAATGAAAACCCGACGAAGCAAAATGCGCCATCAACAGTCAGATTTGCATGTTGCTGATAGAAGGTGCGATTTGGAAGGGGTTCCGAAAGGAGTAGTGTGGAGTGTGAAAGGCCTGAAGTTGAGTGGAGCTGGGGGTTTCCGCCTGTGCTGACCAGCTTTTCACATATTGTAGCTATATATATAGCGGAAAATTTTCAGTCTGGTTGGAGAATTAAAGGGAAAACTATGAAAATTGTAAAGTAATTTCACCCACTTGGTTTTTTTTTCAAAAGAATTTTTTTGCTGAAAACAAATTTACTCTTCTTCATACCGACACTATATATGTAGGTTATTATATCCCAAAAGAATTTTTTGTTAAGGAATGTATATTGATTTGTAAGAAAATGAAATACTAAGCACTGCTCTTAAATTTTTTAAAAATATGTCAACTAAAATCCAATAAAATCTAGAAACATTTTAATTAAATAATATTTATAAAATTAATATTATTCAATATTTTTCTCACAGATACTTCCCCCAAACTTTAGCTCTAAACTGGCCAAATCTAGAGCATCTTTGGCCAACACACACACACACACATGCTAGCCATAAAAGTTTACAAGTGCGAAATTGCATTTCATAGAAGTGTCCTTGGCTTTACTATGAGAACACAAATTCGGTGTTTTTTTTTTCCTGTTCGTATTTGGTTTGTTGTTGTTTGACTTTTTGTTGGATTTCATTCCTACATTTTTTTCCGGCTGCCTTAGTCGCCGCCAACGCTTTTTAAATTCACTTATTCAAATTTCTCTGAGGCAACCATACACATTCACCGGCAAAAGGCACATGCATTGTTTGGACATGTCACGTGCATAACGAATTTGTTACCGAAATCTGTTTTTGATTTAGTGAACAGCTTGCACTTTTTCAGCACTCACCGCCTTTGAGCCTCTTCTTTTCCCGCTTTTTTATGTTCAATTTTTTATGTTGATCTGAGAACTTGAAATAAATTGAATTTGTCTATGTTTTTGGTCGAAAGCCTAAGGCAAAAAGATGTACAGATAGGGTTGATAGATGCTAAGATTTTTAGAAACAAAAAAAATTCTTAAAGCTACGAGTACAAGTTTCAAATTTGTTATTGTGTTTTTAAAAATTATAATCCACTCTTTGTTTCCAATTTAATCCTCCATTTATATATTTTAAAATTTAAATATAAATACTAAACACAAACATTTGCATTAAATAATTGATTGGTAATTACAATTCAACTTTTAGCTTGCCACAAAAATCTGAAAATAATTTCCAAAGAAAAAAAAGAAACAATTTCCACTTAATGGCTTGTGCAACATTGGTTAACTGGTAATCAAGGGCTTTTCGGCAAAAAAAAAACTTTTTCGCCACTGCTGCGTCTTCGATAAAATCAGCATTTTTGTCTGGCCTGATTAATGGGCTTCTGTCCAGAAATCAATCAATTGCCCAAACAAAGTTTCGCTGGCCACTCGTTTGCTTAGATTTTTATTGCTTTCGCCGGCGTTCTCACTCTTTAATTTTAGCTGCCTTTGGCTGCTACCCAGTTCTTGTAGGTGTGAAGGGTATATTGGTTAGGTAACACATGTATAGAAAGTTATAGCATAACATTTCCTGTAAGCCACAAAAATAAAGTACAGAAATCGTTGCCTATATTTGTGTTTCTTATGAGGAATTCCAGCAGACAAAGAGTGGACTTAGTGAGGATGGATCCGAAAAATGTCCTCTAAAAATATTAGATACGGACAAAGAAACGGACTTTTCGCATAAGTTTTGCGAAATGAGTTTCGCGAATTTTCGGGATTATACCCGATTATAATGTCGTAAAAGGTCTGCAATCTAAACCTTATTAGGATTCCGAAAACTATAGCTTTTTCTGCCACAAAATCCATGACAGGGTATTAACTTTATTATCGTTTATGAGCCCAATTCGGATGTTTTGTCCGCTTGAAACGTTTTTGTCTGCTGGGATGTAGGGTAGTCGAGTGACCTTACGACTTTGCTTTCTTGCTGGTCCCTATTTTTACCAGGAAAGTGGAGTGTAAATGCGGCACGAGTGGACCTAATTAACGCGTCCATACATCAATCATCTGGCCAGCGAAGGAAGAAGAGTTCAGCGATGCGGATTATTGTGCGTAAATTACTGAGCTGGTTCTGTGTGTGTGTGTGTGTGTTGAGGATTCGAATGAAAAAAGGGAAACGGCACGTGACCTTTGACACCAAGCTTAAAGCTGGCTTTAACTTTTCCGCCAACGTCATTGTCGTGGTCTGTCATGTTAAGTTTTCCGCTGCCCGAGAACTTGTTCCCATGCTAAACTGTCAGTTTGCATTTTGTTGCACGCAGCAAACGGGGGGAGGGTGGTGGTTTTTCAGGGCGAGTGGGGCTCAGATGGTTGGGCCAGGGGCGGCGGTAAAATGGAAGGGGCGTGGCACGATGTCGGCGTTGGGGTCAGCCCGAAGCTGCTGCCGCTGCGTCGCTTATAAATGACATGACATCAAAGCGTAACAAGCGGCACTAAATCTAAACGATGCATGCGTACACAGACAGTACTTGAGAAGTTTACACTGAAAGTAATTTGTTTTTTATTTTAAAAACATTTTTTTTCTAAATTTTAATAAAACAGAAGTTTATAAAGTATTTTAAATATAAAAGAAAAAGAATTCGCTTCGCTTTGTTAATCCCTTGATGCCTCCAAGGCGATGATCTATCAATAAAATATTATTTACATGTCACATAAATTATTAAATATTTTTTTCTCAGTGCATAACCCTCACACAAGCACGACTGCACACTCGCAGACGGACAGCTGTCGAGCTGTTAAGTCTACGCCGGACAGAAAGGATGGGTCCGTTCCGTTTATGGGCCAAAAGGGGATGTGGTCAGGAGCCGATTTTGTGGGTCTGCGTTTGGTTTCAGTTTTAGTTCCTATTTTTTGTGCTTTTAAAAGGTCGTCAAAGTGAACGAAAATGCAATCAAACTTTATTACTTCAGGTTTGCCGGATAATCGTTTGACATTCCACCAATAATTCAGTATGTAAAAATAATATTTAACTTTGTTTTAATATTTACTTATAATACACTTACATTCAAATACGAAAAAATATTATTTAATCATATACAATTACTTTAGAAATTTCATTTAAAATATATTTCACATCACCAAAACTAAAAATCAAATTTTTCTGGTTTCACAGCTTTAAACTTTTTCCTGACCCACAAATATAAATGAAGAAAAAATCGCGGATATATGAGAGCCGTTTGTCACGAAAAATTGAAATTTTTAACGCCACAAAATCAAAGAAAATATTTATGCCAATAACCTTTTGACAGGTAAAAACATATAATTTTGTGTGCATATTTATTTTGGCTATCACGCATAAATTTAATGCCACAAGCTGGCCAAGAAAAAAAAATACCCTAAATTATAGTCATTTGTCAGGTTCGTCTGTATAGTGAATTTGTGTATTTAATGTTATTTTTTCTCAACTCGCTTTTAGAGAAGAGCTGTGCAAACAAAGGCTGACCAGCCAGCCGGCCTGGAATTTTGGTTTGCGAAATTCCCTTGCTGCGTGCAAAAAAATCAACAATGGAAAATGTAAAAAAGCAAGCGGAAAAGTGGAAAACAAATCCAATCTATGACCAGGTTCAGTCAGTCAGTCAACCGGTTTGTGAGTGCTGAAGAGAAATTCAAATATTGCAGAATAATGTTGAAGTGAAAGTATTTTCGATATTATTCTATTTGTGTGTTGTTTCGTGTTACTTTGTTGCACAAACACTCTGGTTCAAAGGGTTTTAGCTTCATATATCCCTGAAATACATAGCTGCTCTTGTACTCTATATTCTATTCATGTAATAACAAAACAAAAGACGGGAGAATTTTATATTTAACAAAGGTATTGTTACTGAAAAAACAAAAGAATGAGTTGTTTTCTGATTAATAGAGTTCTAAGTCCGTTGAACAAACACTGCTCTAATTTAGATAAAAAGTCCTGTTTTTTATAGTTTATAGAATAAATACAAAAAATCACTTACATAAAAATATAATAATAATCAAACGAATCGAAAGGGACTCTCAACTTTGTTGCCAACTTGACTTTGGTCTTCAAGTGAAAGTTTTTGCGCCCACTACCGACTCAAGTTGTGAATTATAACACCATACTAGAACAGATATATACGAATATAAGCATGATGTATATGTACTTGGGGCTGCAAAGTTTTTCAACTGGGCAAAAAGTTGAGGCCGTGTTAAGCCAAACTAGTTTAGCCATGGGATTTTTGCACTTCTTGTAGCCAGGAAATGTTTACATATGCGCATAAAGATGCAGCCTGTCCCTCTCCCTTTGCCCTTCGTTGGGTACATCCTGCAGGATTCTCCGAGTTCCGAAGAAACCCGTCAAGTGTCGGAGGTCCGTGCGAAACTTTGTTCCATTTGTTATGCTCGTAAATTGTGGACACTGAGGCCAAGATAATCTCATTTGCGCTAAGTAGGCAGTTTCACACATATCAAGTATGTGCAGACAAACAAGGATAATTACACTTGTGAACATAAAGCTAAAATGGTAAATTATTTAAGGAAAGAAACTTTAGCTTGAATAATTTAAAGAAGTAATGACTCTCCTGTAATAGTTCACTATATAAAATTAATTTTTAATTAAAGAATAATAGAAAAACATTAACTGCTTTAACAAAACCTATATCAACACTGACCTTGTGAGAGGTCCATTGCCATGGCGTTACCAAAATAATTAATTCAATATCTATTTTGCTCTCCCAAAAATTAATAAATAAGCCGTGACTATCTAGCAGTTTAGTCTTATCAATCAACAATACTTAATTGTGGCTAACTAATGTGTTCATTTGGTAAATTTACTTTGTCACAAATAATTATAAGAAGATTTTACGCATGGTGACACACAGGTATAAAAATGGGGATGATTTAAATTCAGAATTCAGAAAGCATTATCCGTTGACAGCAAGCATTGGAAAAAATGAAGCAAATTGTTTGGATATTTTTAATAATTGCAACTACAGCAAATGTCCAGGCATACAACAGTAAGTGATTTTTTGTGAATACGTGAAAGAAATTCAAAACAAAAATGTCTATTTACATTTAAATAGAATACGGACGTGGTTGTGGAGATATTTCATGTGCCCCAGGAGAGAGATGTATCCTGTCCAAGGAGCCCTGCACAGGATCAAAACGCGATGGCGAGCAATGCGGAGAGTATCCTACATGCGAGGCAAAGGGTCAATACTCATCGAGTTCAGGTTGGCAGTTCAATTAATTTTTTAATTTAATCAAGTATTCAACTTTAATTTAAACAGAATCTGAGGATCGTGAAAAACGCCAAGCAAATCAGCAAGGATACGGAATGGGTGGAAGCGGAATGGGTAGAGGTAACAACATGAATGGAGGCAATGGAAACGGTGGAAACGGAATGGGGGGAAATGGAAATGGTATGGGTGGCAACGGAATGAATGGAATGGGCGGGCGTGGGGGAAATGGCATGGGAGGAAACATGGGCGGCGGATACACCGGTGGAATGGGCGGTGGAAATGGAATGAATGGAATGGGTGGAAGGGGAGGAAATGGTAATGGAATGGGCGGTAATGGAATGGGCGGCAATGGCATGGGACCCGGAGGAATGGGTGGAAGAGGAGGTAATGGCTACGGAAACGGTGGAAATGGAATGGGTGGAAACGGAATGGGTGGAAATGGTATGGGCCAAGGGGGAATGGGTGGTAATGGAATGGGAGGACGTGGCGGAAACGGAATGGGCCCCGGCGGAATGGGTGGAAATGGAATGGGTCAAGGGGGAATGGGTGGTAATGGTATGGGAGGACGTGGCGGAAACGGAATGGGTGGCAATGGAATGGGACCCGGAGGATATGGAATGGGTGGTCGCGGTGGAAACGGAAACGGAATGGGCGGTCCAAGTGGAATGGGTGGTCCAAATGGGATGGGAGGACCAAATGGAATGGGTGGTCCAAACAGAATGGGAGGACCAAATGGAATGGGAGGACCAAATGGAATGGGAGGACCTAATGGAATGGGAGGACCAAATGGAATGGGGGGATCTGGTAACTGGCAAGGCAATAATAATGGAAATGGATCTAGTAACAATGGTAATTACCGGAATAGAAACGGAAACTACAATCAAAGCTATACCTCTACTTCTGCCACAACAACAACGGATGGATGGTGATCGCTAACGCGGAACAAAATAATGGAATAGGCTAACGACAATTGTAATTAAATTAAATTAAATTGCTATAATGTTACACAAATAAATCGTGAGTTGAGCATATCGTATATATATACATAAATATATATACATAAAATTCATCAAAATATGGGCATTGCATCTTAAGCATATTCTAAAATAATATCCCTTTCGATGATCAACAGCAATAATTTTAAATATTATTCATTGCTTTCATAATAAGCATAAATTGTGCCAAAATATTAATATATTCATGCGTGCTTAACTAAGCAATTAAGTAGACGAAAAAAAACTTCCTTCAGCTGCTGTATATTAAAAAAACCAGTCACGCCATCGTGATGAAGCGGACAGCTGGCTTTCTAATAGATTGCCTTATCCTTTAATTGATTACAAATAAAAACAAATGGAGGGAGACAGAGAGTCGGGTGTAGTAAGAGAGAGCTAGAGAGGACTAAGGACATTTTTCTGGTCTTTATCCTGGCTACGTGCTCGCTGCTGGCTTGCGTGCATTTCCATATTTGTTTAGGAGAAGTTGGTAAAAAGGGGTGACCTGCGTGACCCTGACCTCTGACTCGAGCCACCCCCATTCCTAAATTCTGGCTCCCGATCCTGAATCCTGACCAACCCCACGTATTCGTTTATTTAGTGTGAGTTTGTTTGACCAGGTGCATACAAAAATCAACAAACTTCAAACTACATAAATCTTTATTAGCTGGAAAAGGCGGGGAATACGATCAATTAAAAAATGTCACTTGCTGTGGCAAGGACCCTTTTGGTCCTGTAAAATGGTAATGTTGTTAATAAAAATTCCAAATAATACCTACTCATTTCTAGCGGAAGGAAAACATTTAATTTAAATACCGGAAGAAAACTAAGACTGCTCTTTGTGACCATCGGGAACAATCTAAGATTTTTAAATCCACATTTTCAATTGAAAAGTTAAACCATTAATTCAATAAACCGCAGCGAAATTGGCTAAGAGCCCACTTGCATTTACGATGATTGATGTCTCGATAAAGTCGCCATCGGAACCTCTTCTCCGCTTAACCTCATTTATTTAACCATCTAAGCTGGCGCCTAGCTTCCTCCTCACCGTTCCCATCGGCATTCAATTTTCAAGGCTGCTGCTGTCATGGGTTAACGCCGTGGCCAGCGCCAGGCAATCCACTTAGCCTTCGGGCAAGGATGTGTTCTGGGTGCCGGCGCTGGGCCATTTTATAATTTATCAAAATGAAAATTGATGCCGCAGCGAGGCAAGTGCAGCTCGTTTGCCATCTCTGGGAAATCCTCGGGGTTTTCCTTGCGTGCTGCTGCACTTGCAGCCGGGGAGGCCCGAGGGGGGGGGGGCAGATGCCGCATGCCACACGAAATGCCATCGCAAATAGCGAAAATGCTTTCGCAAATATTTAGCCGAACTTTTTTAGCGACACGCGTTCAGGTCGAGGTCCCCACAACCGGAAAGTATGCAGCAGCTTTAAGGCTGCTCCTTTTCCTTTGGCCTGCTGCGCTGTCTGTCCAGCTTCTTGTCCAGCTTTCTCTGGTTTCTGTTGTTCCAATACCCATTACACTTTCGGGTTGAAGGGGTTGTGGGAAAAGCAGATAGTTCTGAGAGAATGAAATTTATTAGAGATATTTTTAATGATTTAATGGGAATTTATAATCAATCCATAATAAAATAACTTTAAAAAGGATTCAGATTTTTAAATAACTTTAAACTTTAAAATATTTAAAATTCATTATATATTTTTTTTCCTTTTCTTCATGTAATAGGTACCTTTTAATTCTTCAGCAGAGACTCTACGGAATTCGTCTTGCTATATATTTCTGTGGACAGTAGCATTTATGCCAGTTAAGTTGTTGGCCAGTTCGTGACTGCTGGCGGCCTTTATTTGCGCTTGCATTTTCATTTGTGAGTGTAAATAGCATTAAAAATAATTTTCCGGCTTAAAAACGCTCCGCACGAACAGAGGAAGCGCACGGAAGCGAAAGGACGAAGAGGGAATCGCTGACAGCCGGACGGGCTTATGCACTTAATGAAATGTACACGGCAATTGTTACGGAGACCGAGACGGATCCGGAGATGGAGATGGATCCGGAGATGGTGGCCAGAGCAGGACTCGATTCCGGAGCCGGAGATTCCAACGGCGACAAAGATGCTGCGGCCATCAATTGGAGCCAACTTAAATTTCGTTTCTGGCACAAATGGCAGCTTCGCATTAAATGGCTTCAACAGCATTCGTTGTTGGGTTAAGTTCGGGTTAAGCCATCCGTGTTGTTTGTCCAATTTAAGTGTTTTTCGGTTTAAATGCAGTTAAGAGCCTGGGCGAAAGGATCAACAATTAAATGTCTGTGGCAAATGGAAAGATGGCCAACGAAAGAGGATTTCTCCCTGGTAATGTTATTAAATAAATTGTAAATATTGAATTAAACTCTGAGCGATGGAAGCTAATTGCTGTATCTTAGCATTTCCATAAACGATTTAAAATGATTTAACTTTTAGCGCAATCTTATCGCTTTGATCTCTGCCTTGTCACCTTTAGTTCCAAAGTATTCGCAAATAAATCTAATTGAAATCCATGCATTGATAACATCACCCCTATTAATATTCATGAAACTCAACCCCTTGAGACCCTCCTATCCGGATTTGTGTTTTTCTTTCATTTGCAATCGCTCTGACCGAAGCTTAATAATAATAAAACTTAAAACTCTGCCAGATTTTATGGCTAAATTAAGCATTTTGCATAATTATATCAGGCCGTTGTGCAGGTGTAATAGTCTGGGAATTATTTTAAAGGGCGCACAATCAGATTCAAAATACAATTGAAATAGCTGAGACATTAAATCAAAATGATTTTGTTGCCGACACAATGGTCGGGCGATTGGCCGGAAGGAAAACTCTTGGCTGTCAAAAGGAATTTTCAATTACGAGGCAAAATGCCGAAACAAGTTATTAGACAAACTTTGGCCTCTTTGGCATCCATTGTATCTGTTTCTCTCGCCAATGGTAATTACAGTCCGGTCCGGCCAGGTCGTAATTAAATATTCTCTAGCAAAATGAACTTGGACAGGCCGAGTGCGAATAAATGGAGAAACTGAAGGTGAATAAGAGCTAATCATATCAGCAGCCCTACAATTAGCCAGGCCATATTAAGCTAGGAACTTAGTTTGTGGCAAAACATTTTAATCGATCGATCGGTTGCTTAAACTTCAAGGCAGTTTCCATGCTTTTATTGAATTTCTGAAAATATTTTGAATATTTTGATGCCTTTTAATGTCCAGTAACCAATTAATTTGAGTAAAGAAGGTTGAACTCTCTATTTATAAACAACTTTAAAATGAAATCCAGTAAATACGAATAATCACTTTATTTAAATAAACACAAGCGACGTATCGCTTTTATCGAGTTCTCTTCCATTTACTTTGATCCTTAGAATTCCCATTGGCTGTGCAAATGCGGGTGCTTACAGGTCCCATATTACTGATGGATTGTGCCGGCTTAATGGTTATCCTGCCGGTGGTAGTCACCCGAGTACTCGCATGGGGAACCGTTGGAACTAGACTCTCGGAGACTACCGAGGGAATGGTTTGAAGGCGAGACAATGAGCTGTATTTCGGTGATTCGGCAATCGGCTCGTCGATCTTTGCCATTAGTTTCTGGTAACAGGGATGTTTGGGATCATACCCCGGCTCATACTCTACACTGCTATCCACAGAGACGCCCGAATGTAGGGAGCTGCACGCCAGACTAAATTCACCACATGGAGGGCACATTTCCGAGCATTTATCTATGCTAACCCCATTCGTCTCGATGGAAATACTCTCCTCGGAGCTACTATTACAGCCAAATTCTTCGGCTATAAGACGTCGAGCCAGGGGCACGGAAAAGAATTCCGTGTAGTGCAACTTGCGACGGCGCTCAAACTCCAAACGGCGCGCCTGCTCCTCCAGCGACTCCGGAAAGTCCTCCTCCTCTGACGACTCATCGGAGTCGTCATCGAACCCGAATGAAGGCATTTGCGATCTCGACGTGATGCGCAGCTTTTCCACCAAGGCATTCATGTCCAACTCGGGGGGTATTTCATCCTCAAAGACAAACGGAGTCTTGGGCTCATCGATAATCATGTGGCCGTAGTCCTTGTTGACGGGATGAAATGTGGCCAGAATGTTCACCTCGTCGAACTTGGCCGATCTTACAACTAAATTTGAGCTTATTGGCCCCGATTTCAAAATACCCTTAACATCATTGGTGTCCATAGTGTTTTGGCTAAGGATTAAACAATTATTGTTGGGTTCAACTTAAATATTAAACTTACTGCATGTAAACTGAGTGTGAAACTGTTTATGGAAGTAGAATTCAACTGACTAAATACATATTCATTTGGCGAGGGGAGGTCTAATTCAACGACTACTATTTGGATATAAGGTTAAAATTCTTGAAAAATATAAATTTTTCAAAGCACATGTAAAAACTTCCTCAATTGTTAATTTTTAATATTTAATTTAACTTTTCTTTGCTTATTTATATATATTTTTCCCAATAATAAACACAAATTTTATGCTTTGTATTGTAACCAATTAGAAACCAATTGCTTTTACTTTTTCCCCAAAAATATCCTGAAATCAATGAGGGATAATAACAAATCCGCAAGCAGACGGAATCACTTTCACAAGATATCAAGCAGCAATCCCTGAATAATCCTTGTTTCTAATACTGTTGGCATTGTTTGCCATTCGGTTGAGGATGTCGGGTGCTCGATGTAGTGCTCTATATGTCTGTGTACTGGGTACTCGATGCTCGATGGTTCCTACTCCACGAGAGCAGTGTGCAATCGCAGCCATCAGACCACAAAGTAAACTCATTTTGACGTGTTTCGGACTGGCGGGAAAGAGGTGGAAAATCGGAAAGGGAAATAGGTAGGTGGAAAAGCGGAGTCAGAGCAACGCTTCATTATTGATGCTTCGTACTGCAGTTTTTGTTATTGATGTAAACATATTCATCACAAACATGCTACCTCCGATATGAGTTTGAAAAAGTAAGGGGGGGGGAAATAGTGGAGACAGCGGGAAAAAGGAATGGAAATGGGGGAAAGGGTAGACAGTAATCGAATGGTGATGAGGGGGCGGGCCAACCCATAGAGTTGTGGCAGTTGCAGTTGGTTCTGTGGCAGCTGCCACTTCAAAACACTTCACTGCACACCATTTTTCCCCCGATTTCCTCTGCCCAGGGAATCAGGGGGTGGAAAATGCAATTGGGGGGTAGGAGCTCGCCATACAGCAGGACGGCCCCAGTCAGCCGGCGGTAAAGGGATCAGAGGGCACTGTATTGGGAATTGATTGCTGCACATTATTTCACAATTTTGCCAGCAAATAAACAAGCCTTTTGCAGTAGCACTTTTAAACTTGAGCCCATGCACTGAAGAAAATAATAGGGGTATACTTTAATATTAATAAAAAAAAACCTACTTTGATAGAACATCGGAATTTTAAATAATTAAATGGATTTATAGCTATGTTTTGATATAGAAATTAAATAAAAATACAATATAATAAAACCAATATCGGAACTAATTTAAAATAAAAGAATTGTAATATAAAACAAATAACTTTGTGATTTAATTCTTTCAAGTCAAAATAAAGATGAAATCAAATGATAAATATATTTTTTTTAAATTTTAAAGTTGGAATTATAAAAAGTATATTGTAAATTGCTTCCCAACTTCTCGCACTGCACAATGTCTTTCATATGAAGCTGCTTATAAGCTCAGTGAATGCGACAAAACAGCTCCATAAAAGTGACGATGACGAGGAGGAGATGTGTCCTATGCCTTGTTCTCTTCTCGTTTCGCCAGTTGATGATGATGTTCCAATGCTGGCGATGATCACAACGGGAATATAGGCGATGCCGGCAAACAGTCAACAACTGTTTTTCGTGTGCCTGCCCACAGTTTGAGTTTCCAGCCATGTTTGATTGCCTCTCCTCTTTGGCAGTGACGAGATGCGATGTTGATGGGGCTAGGAAATTTTTCCTTCGATTTACGGAATTGCAGTTGGCCCGATTGCATTTCTTATATGGCCCCCTCCCCCCTTTAGTGGCAACAATGTGCAATGGTAGCAGGATGTGTGCATTGCGTATCGGTGGCTGCGCATCTGTATCTGTATCTGTATCTGTATATGGATCTGGATCTGGAGCCAGGCAAGTGCTACGTGCCACGTGCTACATACATATGTGCATAAGTAACGGCTGTGAGGTGCGAGAATCGAAAACGAAGGGAAAATGGGGGGAAAACAGGCTTCCTTCCACATATCAACAGGATTTTATGGCAAAATCATAAATATTCCTGAATTCCTTCGGCTTTCGTCTTTCGCTACGCTATGGAACATCCGTTTCCGCAAGAAGTTGCATCAGATAACCCCCTACTTTTTTGTGGAAAAGTATGGGAGGTCCTAAGGGATACAGTGAACCAATATTTAAATTTTTAAGCTTTATTTTAAATATAATAATATTTTGTTTACCAATTTTTTAAGGTAAAATTTCTGTATAAAATGTAACAAATTAATTGAAGTTTTTTTAATTTTAGTATAAGCTTGTGTGTTACCATTTTTCTTTTCGAAAAATCCTTTAATTCCTACCGACATTAATGCCACACACTTTCCGTTCGACAAGATCTCCCACTGTATGGCAATTGGACTGGCAAACGGTTATGCATATTTATTAAAAACTGTCTGCTGCGATTAAAAGCCAATCAGACCAATTGCAAATTCCTTTTATTGGCCTACCATACTTTGCCCTGCTCCATCATCTCCAGCCTCCACTGCCGCTCCCTGTGACCAGCCAGTAGTTTATAAATATTTAAAATTTAATTTTTGCATTTCCACCCACATACACACACACACACATAGACTCCTTATCTCCACACTCACTGTTTGCTTGATGTTGGTTGGCAATTGGGGTTTTTATACCCGGCAAATGTGAAGTTCAAAAGGGTATATAGAATTTCTATTTAATTTTAAATAAAACCATAATAAATAAATTAAATAAATAAGTAAAATATATAATTTAAAGTCATGTATAATAATATGCCATACAAATATTCTAAGCTAATCAATAATAATTATTTAAATATTTGTAGTGAAAACTTTATTTATAATAAAATAATGCCATAATTTAATATAAAATTAAATTTGTATAAGGTATCAAAGGTTCAGGTAAAAAATGGCTTTACCTGAACCCTTCCCAGGAAGATTAAAATGAGTGCTCCGGCATCCATTCCTCTTACTTTCTGCCTTTGCCTGCGTTGCAATCGAAGCGTGAAGCGTTCCAAAAGGCAAACACGTTGAGCGCAAATGTTCCGCGTTTCCTTTTTGGCTTTCCACACAGCCACCCGCTGCACCACCCTCTATTCTCCTCCTGTTTTCCACGCTCAACCTAGCGAAATTCGCAGCCAAACCAAACCAATACCTGGGATCACCTGGAATCCGCTTCGTGTGTGTGTGTGTTAGGTAGCGCTTGACAGCTTGGCAAACAGTTAAATAAAGTTGGCATCTCTCTACCAAAACCCCACCCCATCCCGATTGTGTGTGTGTGTGAGTGTGTGTCATCCTGATTATTATACACTACACGTGGGTGAGGGTGTTGGCCATTTGGCTACGAACTTTGTTTGGAATTCAATTTGACTTTAGAGGGGTAAAACTTCCTTTTGGCTAAATGGCTTTCTTTCATGAAAAGGAAGGAAAAGTAAGGGAAATATCTTCTTTCCATGAGATTATTAATAAAAGGGTTGGGAAAATATATGTTACTTAAAATTGGATTGCTTAATTTGAGAAATATCTAAAATAATATATTAAATAAATTATAAATACTGAGTGCTATTTGTAAAAAAACTTAAATATAAGACCTTTTCTGCTTTCATAAATGAAAAATAACCCCTCATAACCTGTTAAAACTTTTTCCATTCTCGTATGTCGTAAAAGTATTTACCTCTTCTCTGCTAATTTAATTTGGTTTTCGCCAAATTTGACAAGTTTGCCACTTGGCAAGTTGGCGTTCTTGTTTTTGACATGGTTACCACTTGAAGCTAAGCTGAAATTCAATTAAATTGATGTAAACAACAGCAAAAGAACTGACATCGTTTGGCGATCAAATGTTCAATGAGCCATTGGAAAAAAATTAATTGAATTAGCCAGAAAGTGAAGTTGAATTTATACACTTAATTCATATATACATAAAGAATATTAAATGAAATATAAGAGCTTTCAAATACTTTATTTGAACCTTGCATAAATTCAAAACCCACTTACTTGCTTTATATTTATTTTCCATAATTTACTTATATGTCAGCACACTTTCATGAAGCAGAGCTCCTTCTGGAAATGACCAACAAAGTTAATTATTAGCGCTTTCTGGTGAGAATTACAATTTCAGGACAATGACACAATGGAGCAACTAATGAATATGAATTACTCGAGTGCCGAGTGCCCCTCTTCCCCGCCAGATGTGTGTTTGCCCAACGAGCCAACACAAGGGCTGCGACAAGAGCTGCAACAAACAAAGAGGCAAACAAACAACAAGCCGAACAAGACAACTGCAAACAAACATTGAGCTGATTGTGCCACAAGCTGGGAGCTGGGAGCTGGGAGGCAGAGAGAAGGGCTTGGGACTTACCCACTTATGTGAGGCAGCAGCCAAACTTATGCGACAAAGTTTCACCTCCCCGAGTCTGCTGTCTTTTCATATAAACTTGTTGGTAGTTACTGCGACTTACTCTACTGTTGTTTTTTTCACCATCTCACACTTTCGCGCATTGTCCTCGGGCTAAAAACAAACTTCACGGGCCAAAACTCACATAAATTACACGCGCACAAGCAGAAGTCACCAAATGTCAAATGCAGTAAAAGCGAAAAAAATTGAATATGCACAGACAAGAACTAAAACCTAAAATGCAGCCTCAACTGCAATGAAAATTACACTTGCCAAATAACAAATCTACTAAAATTGTAGAAATGTGTATTCTCTCGCCCAATTAAAACTCAATATAAAATTTTAAAATTTTGCTTTTGCCTTTAAACAAATAAAAACTAATAAGAATTATTAATTGAATATTATTATTTACCTCAAAATTAAACATTTATCTTATATACCCATTTTTCTTTCCCTTTTAAGCAACAAAAAAGGAGAGACCCCATCACGGTTGAGTCATCGTCATCACCCAAGGTCCAGGCTAACTTTCTTTGAAAGGAAATTCAGCCAATTTGTTGGCGCTGCACTTCTTCTCCCCTTAACCCCCTTTTTTTCCCACCAACCCTTTCGACCATCGCGGCCTTCAAAAGTGACAGTTGCCGTGAGCCCTGAAAAAATGAATAGAAAATACAAAGCAGAAAAAAGGCGAAACAAAATACAAACAAACGAAAGGCGAATCATCA